TTCCTTTGCTGTGCAAAGGAAACCATAAACAAGATGAAAAGACAACCCTCAGAATGGAAGAAAATATTTGCAAATGAAGCAACTGACAAAGGATTAATCTCCAGAATTTATAAGCAGCACATGCAGCTCAATATCAAAAAAACAAACACCCCAATCCAAAAATGGGCAGAAGACCTAAAGAGACATTTCTCCAAAGAAGATATACAGACTGCCAACAAACACATGAAAGAGTGCTCAACATCACTAATCATTAGAGAAATGCAAATGAAAACTACAATGAGATATCATCTCACACCAGTCAGAGTGACCATCATCAAAAAATCTACAAACAGTAAATTCTGGAGAGGGTGTGGAGAAAAGGAAACCCTCTTGCACTGTTGGTGGGAATATAAATTGATAGAGCCACTCTGGAGAACAGTATGGAGGTTCCTTAAAAACTAAAAATACAACTATCATATGACCCAGCAATCCCACTACTGGGCATATACCCAAAGAAAACCATAATTCAAAAAGAGTCATGTATCACAATGTTCATTGCAGCACTATTTACAACAGCCAGGACATGGAAGCAACCTAAGTGTCCATCAACAGATGAATGGATAAAGAAAATGTGACACATATATGCAGTGGAATATTACTCAGCCATAAAAAGAAATGAAATTGAGTTATTTTAGTGAGGTGGATGGACCTAGAGTCTGTCATACAGAGTGAAATAAGCCAGAAAGAGAAAAACAAATGCTGTATGCTAACACATATATATGGAATCTTAAAAAAAAAAGGTTCTGAAGAACCTGGGGTCAGGACAGGAATAAGACGCAGACGTAGAGAATGGACTTGAGGACATGAAGAGGGGGAAGGGTAAGCTGGAACAAAGTGAGAGAGTGGCATGGACTTATATATACTACCAAATGTAAAATAGATAGCTAGTGGGAAACAGCTGCATAGCACAGGGAGATCAGCTCGGTGCTTTGTGACCACCTGGAGGGGTGGGATAGGGAGGGTGGGAGGGAGTCACAAGAGGGAGGAGATATGGGGATATATGTATATGTATAGCTGATTCACTTCATTATAAAACAGAAACTAACACACCATTGTAAAGCAATTATACTCCAGTAAAGATGTTAAAAAAAAAATTGTGTTGTCGGGACTTCCCTGGTGGTCTCGTGGTAGAGAATCTGCCTTCCAATGCAGGGGATGCAGGTTTGATCCCTGGTCCAGGAACTAAGATTCCACATGCCGCAGGGCAACTAAGCCCGCACGCCACCACTACTGAGCTCGCGCGCCTCAGCTAGAGCCCCTGTGCCGTAAACTACAGAGCCCACGCACTCTGGAACCCGTGTGCCACAACTACAGAGCCCACTTGCCCTGGAGCCTGCGTGCCACAGCTAGAGAAGAAATAAAACCCACACGCCACAACTAGAGAGAAGCCCACACGCCGCAGTGAAGAGCCTGCATGCCACAACGAAAGATCCCACATGCCTCAACGAAGATCCTGTGTGCCACAACTAAGACCCAACACAGCCAAAAATAAATTAAATAAATCTTTTTTTTAAAATTGTGTTGTCTGTACATGAATAGTGTTTGTGGTATTAGCAGTTGCAAAAGAAGTACTGAACCTGAGTCCAGAATGTATTAGTACATGTCCCAGTAGTGCCTGTACACTAATGTCAAATGATCGTTTATTCTTTTAAAATATGTGTTTGAAATAATTTCAACTTAAACAATATAAGAATAAAACAAATGGATAAATTTTTAAAAGTTTAACTTGTTTAAATGGAAAACCAAATTTATAATGTTATTTTTCTCTATTTTCTTAAATTTTCTTGTCTATTTACTCTTTTCCAAAGAATGATAATTGACCAAAAATGAATTACTTAAAATATCTATGCATCCATTGCTAATATAAATAAATACATAAATGAATAAGTAAACAGACGGGAAGAACTATAGCGCTTCCTTAAGAAGAATTCCAATTAATAGATGTAGATGGAAAGAGAAATTTAAGTCACCATTAGAACACCACAGTAAAAATTACAACAGGCAAGATCCACCAGTATGCTACAATTAGCAGGCAAAAGTTGAAGCAGAAGCAAAATATTTGCATAGTCTTCAAGTATTTCCCACAATATATTTAGTAATTTCTAAAGGAAAAATAATAAGCTTATAATAGAGAATCTTGGCAGGCACAACCTTAGGCAAGTGGTCAAGGTTAACATCACCAGAAACACTCAGCAACATACCTCTTGACTTGATGCATTGAGAAGGGCATATCACCTCTGTTGTATCCTTCCCAATAATGTATAACCTCAGTCTGATCATGAGAAAACATGAGACAAACCCAAACAAAGGGACGTTCTGTAGATTAATCAGTACTCTTCAGAAGTGTCAGAATCGTGAAAGACAAGCAAAGACTGAGGAATTGTCACAGGTTAGAGGAAACTAAGGATACACAGCAACTAAATGCAATGTGGGATCTTGGATTAGATCCTGAACAGAGAAAGGATGTTAGTGGAAAAACTGGTGAAACTCAAATAAGTTCTTAACTTTATATTGTACCAAAGTTAATTCCTTAGTTTTGATAAATGTTCTGTGGTTGTGTAAGACATCAACATAAAGGGAAGCTGGGGGAATTTCCCTGGTGGTCCAGTGGTTAAGAGTCCAGCTTCCAATGCAAGGGACGCGGGTTCGATCCCTGGTGGGGGAACTAAGATCCCACATGCTGCAGGGCAACTAAGCCCATGCACTGCAACTATTGAGCAAGCCCACGTCCTGTAACTAGAGAGCCCACGCGCTGCAACTACAGAGCCCGTGTGCCACAACTAGAGAGGAGCCCATGCGCCACAACTAGAGAGGAGCCTGTGCACTGCAACAAAAGATCCCGTGTGCCACAGCTAAGACCTGATGCAGACAAAAATAATAAATAAATAAATATTTTTAAAAACATAAAGGAAAGCTGGGGAAGGGTATACAGGAACTCATATCTATTTTTGCAACTATTCTGTAAATCTAGAATTTTAAAAACTTGATTCTTTCCTATTATTGGTTATAAGAGATCGCCCACATCTTAAGATTTTTCTCTTTAATTTCAACACACATATTTATAAAAATAGTTCTCAAAGAGTGTTCTTAGACCAGCATCATTAACATCAGCTGGGGACTTGTTAAAAATGCAGATTCTCAGAAGCTCTGGGGGTGGGACCCAGCGATCTGTGTTTTAACAAGCCCAGATGATTCTGACATGCACTATTGTTTGAGAGCTGTTACATGTACTATCAGTAAAAACTTAAGACTAAAAGGAAACATTTTAATTAATATATTGGCAAGTTTGATTACAATAAATTATAACCAGTGTTTTTTTTTTAATTGTGGTAAAATACCTGTAACATAACATTTACCATCTTAACTATTCTTAAACATACAATTCATGATATTAAATACATTCACATTGTTGTGTAATAGTCACCACCATTCATCCGCATAACTGTTTTTAAAAAAATTTTTTTAATTTTATTTTTGGCTGCATTGGGTCTTTGTTGCTGCGCGCGGGCTTTTCTCTAGTTGCCGCGAGCCGCGGCTACTCTGTTGTGGTGCGTGGGCTTCTCATTGCAGTGCCTTCTCTTGTTGCCAAGCACAGGCTCTAGGCACGTGGGCTTCAGTAGTTGTGGCTCACGGGCTCTAGAGCGCAGGCTCAGTAGTTGTGGCGCACTGGCTTAGTTGCTCCACGGCATGTGGGATTTTCCCGGACCAGGGCTCGAACCCATGTCCCCTACATTGGCAGGCGGATTCTTAACCACTGCGCCGCCAGGGAAGTCCTATCCACATAACTCTTAACGTCTTGTAAAACTGAAACTCTGTACTCATTAAACAGTAACTCCCTATTCCCCACTTCTCCCAGCCCCTGGCAGCCACCATTCTATTTTATGTTTTGACTATCTAAGTGGAATCATACAGTGTTTGTCTTTTTGTGACTGGCTTATTTCACATAGCATACCGTCCTTAGGTTTCATCCATGTTGCAGTATATGTTAGAACTTCTTTCCTTTTTAAGGCTGAATACCATTCTACTGTATGTATATACCACATTCAGATGAATGCTTATCCATTCATCCGTCAGTGGACACTTGGGTTGCTTCCACATTTTAGCTACTGTGGATAATGCTGCTATGAACATGGATGTACAAGTATCTCATCAAGACTCTGTTTTCAGTTCTTTTGGGTATATACCCAGAACTGGAATTGCTGGATCATATGGTAATTCTATTTTTAATTCTTTTGAGGAACCGCCACTATACTGTTTTCCACAATGGCTGTACCATTTTACATTCCCACTAACAGTGCACAAGGGTTCAAATTTCTCCACATTTTCACCAACACTTGTTTTCTGGTTTTGTTTTGTTTTTTTTAATAGTAACCATCCTAATGGGTGTAAGGTGGTATCTTATGGTAGTTTTGATTTGCATTCCTCTCATGATTAGTCATGTTGAGCATCTTTTCATGTGCTTTTTAGCCATTTGCATATCTTCTTGGATAATCTCTGTTCAAGTCCTTTGCCCATTTTTGAATAACTGACACCCCTACCTTTCGTATATACAGTAAAGTCACTGCTGCTCACATACTTGTTCATGGGCACATCAGTGGCACTTCTGGGCTCTCACTTTCTTTACTTCCCCCTGTCTACCTTGTCCCGCAGCTCCCATAAATCTGGTATTTACACATAGGATCTATTTGTGTGCTGATTTTGAGAAATAAGGCAGAATTTGAAAACTACACGACAGTATTTCAGTATTTAAACCTATTTCCAAAAAATTCTCTTTACAGACCTACAACAGCTGTACCAGACTCTGCTTAAATCAAGAGACAGTATGTCTAGCAAGCACTGCTATGAAGACTGAAAATTGTGTGGCCAAAGTAAGTAATATTACACATCAATATATATTATACCACATGATAATAATGGTTTATCTATAGACATCTTTACTCAGTATTGCTATTAAAGACTATTATAGGATTTTAAAATATTTATTTTATTTTTATTTATTTGGCTGCGCTGGGTCTTAGTTGCGGCATGTGGGATCTTTGTTTTGTTCTTTTTTGTTTGTTTGTTTTTTTGCTGTACGCGGGCCTCTCACTGCTGTGGCCTCTCCCGTTGGCGGAGCACAGGCTCGGGACGCGCAGGCTTAGCGGCCATGGCTCACGGGCCTAGCCACTCCACAGCATGTGGGATCTTCCCGGACCAGGGCACGAACCCGTGTCCCCTGCATCGGCAGGCAGACTCGACCACTGCACCACCAGGGAAGCCCCATACAAGCTTTTTATCTTTAGTTGGGCATGCAGGATCTAGTCCCCTATCCAGGGATTGAACCCAGGGCCCCTGCATTGGGAGCACAGAGTCTTAACGGCTGGACCACCAGGGAAGTTCCTATTATAGGATTTTTAAAAAGAATGTAGGAGGCATCATTTTATCCAAAGCAGATTGCAAGTTGGAGTTTCTTTCTCTTCAGTTGCAGCAGAATTTTTTGATTATGTGTTCTGGTCACACTTTAGTCTAATCCACATTTGTTGCTTGACACTAGTTATGGATTATTACAGATAAGATTTGTGTGGGACTTCCCTGGCTGTCCAGTGGTTAAGACTCCTTGCTTCCACTGCAGGGGACACGGGTTCGATCCCCGGTCGGGGAACTAAAGAGCCTGTGTGGCGCGGCCCAAAAAAAAAGATTTGTATAAAAAAATATACAGTTATTCTCATAAGTTTGGTGGTGGTTTTAAAATGTAATAAGTATAGAGTACACCATTGTAGGATTGTGAAATATGCTATAGAAAATCCAATTATTATATCACTATTATTTATTGAGCAGCTATTGATAAAAATACCGCTTTTGGTGATCTTGATCTAACTGGACAAGTATGTTTAATCACGTATATGGAGCTTCTTGTTTCTTATATATAAATGTGTGCCATATCTATAGCCTAAATACAAAAATAATCTTATGTATTAGAGATCTTACAATCTAATAATTGTATCAACTATGCCTCACGTTTTCCATCTCTAATTACTCAGGAACTTTGACCGAAATTTAGATTTCAGCCATTTAAATTATTCCAGGAGTAAGTAAGAGTACAGTACGGGCTCTGTTTCTAGACTTCTACTTTGCATATCTGCAAAATTACTGCCTTTTATAACTATTCAGGGATTTGTCACTTTTACAACATTCCCAGCTTTAACTAGTTTAATCTATTGTCTAATCTAGTGTTTAATCTATACACTCAGGGTCTCTGTTACTGTTATTATTAGAGCCAGGCCGGTATCATGTGTTTACAAAAATCAAGGAACAGCAATTTTTTTTTTTTTTTTTTTTTTTTTTTTTTTTGCGGTATGCGGGCCTGTCACTGTTGTGGCCTCTCCTGTTGTGGAGCACAGGCTCTGGATGCGCAGGCTCAGCGGCCATGGCTCATGGGCCCAGCCGCTCCACGGCATGTGGGATCTTCCTGGACCGGGGCACGAACCTGTGTCCCCTGCATCGGCAGGTGGACTGTCAACTACTGCGCCACCAGGGGAGCCCCAGCAGCAATATTTTTTATTTTGTTTTATTTCTTAAAACATGAAGTAGTTTCAGTTGATAAAGGACATACTTTATCAACTGAAAATATATCATACAAAATAGAACCATTGGAAATGATCCATGTAAGAAATGTCAGAATTTATTAAAAGTTATAGTGAAAAAAGGTAGAGTTAATCAGTTCAGTTCTTAAATTAGAATGTCTTAATAATTTACTGCAAAATATGAATATTATAAATTAACGTGTATTTATTTTTCAGTCATACAGTCACAACTAGCCAAGTGCTGATTGACCCTTCTTTTTATCTAGCATTTGTACATTGAGGAGACCAATAATTTGGGCCTTTGAAAATAATCTTTTTCCTTTTTGGCCATGCTGTTCTCAGTTTCATCACAAGTGGGTGACTTCTGGCTAAACAAGGTAAAATCTTAGCATGAGCACCGATCCAAGGACAGGGTGACGATTTTAATGAGTTACATTGAGAGCTGGCCAAGTGAGCATCTGTTCCTTTTGTTTCTCAATACTTTGTAAGCCAGGATTTCTAAGCTACATAGCTATGTTGGTGTATGTCTGTATGATGGTTTTATATTTTCCTCTACCTTCTACTTTAGCGGTGCATGGTTAGAAATCTTGTGGCATCTGGCACAATGGTATAATTTCTTCTATGCTCTTGAGTGAGGAAATAAATTTGCTCATTGCTGCTGTTTCCGTTGCTCTCAAATGGTGACCCTCTCATCCCATTCTTGCTTATTTTAGCATTATTCTGCCACCTATATCCTTTCATCATCTCCTTAAACACCCTAATTTAATAATGATTTCTATCATTTCCTAGTTTAGGAACCCACCTAACTTTCTGATTCCTTTTATTGGCCCATCTTCATCTTCTGGTTCATTGCTTCAGATCTGAGCCAAATAATCAGTTGGTCAATGGCAAATAAAAACATGTAGCTGAAAATTCTCTTTCTTGCAACAGTCTCCAGTGAAGTGCCAATAACATAGGAATAGGAAGAATTTTCCCTTTTTTATTTACATATGTTATGTGTATCTCATGATTCTGTGCTGCTTCTACTGGTCTCATTTATTGCTTGCCCTTTGAAAAGTAATGACTTGCCATTATTTTTGTAGGTCTGTAAGCTTGTCCCTATTTCATGCTCTTCACCTTTAGCCCTTAACTGGATAGTTTCACCTACTATACTTGATATGGCTGCATTGGTTTTTAACTTGGTACAAGTATGTGTTGTTGATTCAGATTGTGCTCCAAAGTGGCCTTGAATGTCCACCTCCATGGAGAGCCGCTATAATATGGTGATATCAACCATTTTGGTCCTCTAGTTCAAAACAACTAATTCTGATAGGTGTGACTTTGGTTTGGGTAGAGATGGTAATTAAAGTCTAAGACCTTATTATTGAAAACTGTTTATATAAGACATTAATACCAGTTAGTCCCTTTAAAAACAGCAATCCTGTTATGTTTGGACCCCTATAATATGTTGTATGTGACTTCTTTGCCAGAGATATCTTAAAATAAATGTTTTATAATAGGTGTATGAAAAGAGACCCTTAGTCCTCTTTAGAATACAAGAAGACAAAGTTGTAAGGCAAACTACAGCCACCCTCGGTTAATAATCTTCTGAATCTCTGACTTGAAGAATGAGTCTTAAGAAAATATTTTAAAATAAAAATGGAGGAAGGGTCATTTTATAGTATAACTTAATCCAAGTAATATTTGGAGGCATTGAGATGTTTTTTATTTCTTCCAAAGCCTTCCTTCTTACTAATTATAGCCCTGTAGTTCATGAGGTTTGTGTTTGGAACATGATAAGCTCTGTGTTTATTGTAGCTTTAAATGGACAGTCATTATTGACCTCCAACTTAATCTTTAAAATCAATAATCATGTTGTACCTAATTGTCAACCTTCATGATGTTTTTTAATTGGTAAAGAAAGCTTACTGGAAAAATAAAGAGCATTAATTTTTGTTATATTTTTATTGACTTCAAGTATTATTGAAAATTTTTGTTTTCAGGATTTTCCCTAATTTACCCTTACACACACACATACACATACAGTTAAAACTGAGTTGTTTTTGAACACATCTGCCTGGATTCCTGCCTAGGTCGGAGAAGTTCTGCCTCTTTATATTTAGAAAATAAACCCCTTCCATAGTCCTTTGTAGATGTGTTCTGTATTGTAGTTGTTGTTGTTTGTTGTTATTGTTTTTTACTTTAGACTAATAATCTTTTTGCAACTGAGACAGAAAAATGTGATGTTCCTTTCCACTCACTCCAGATTTTGATAGAAGACTTGTTTTATTTATTTCCAAAATTATATCCGCAGGAAACAAGCTGTTTAAATTCAGATTATGCTGAAGCAAAATGGTCCTGGTATGAGAAGCAACGTGCTGTTTTACGAGCACAGAGTCCCCTTTCTCATAACTGATTGATAGTAAATATTTTCCTGAAGAATTATTGCCAACCATGAACAGTGCAACTGTTTCACTTTTTTCCTGTGCTACTTGCTGTACCAGCCATTGTCGGTAATTAAGATCTACAATTCACAATGCAGACGTTTGCACTTCCTCTGGGTCTGTGCTATTTATAAGGCATTTCAGCTGTTCAGAGTTTCTTTTGAGTTTTAAACTACGTGTTAACAGACTTCTTTAATATACTGTTCCACAAGTAGCATGTCAGATGGTCCATTCTGCACACAAGCTTCTCTGTTGGTTCTAAAGAATAGCTTTGTGGAGAATATATTAAGATTTAATAACCATATCATTGAGGCTGATGTGGTTGGAAAAACTGAAGTATAATGTTTTATACATTAGGCTTATTGCTGTATTAAAGAGGCAGGAATTAACTTCAGAAGTAATGTTTTTTCTTCCATCTTTAAATATTTATATTAATTAGTGAATGTTAATGGGGGTTACAGAGAGGTTCTGAGAAATACTAGTACAGTGACTTTTCCAAGCTCACTTTGAAGTAATAATAGAATCAAGAATCCTCATTATAGACAACAGTTTGTGTGTTTGTCAGATTAAGGATATGAGAATACATAACCTTCTAGATGTGCATGATATTTAAGAATACAAACATGGGGCACCAAAATGGATCAGCAGATTGACTGCACATTTGTTGTGTAATCAGCTTCAGGAACCCTAAGTAGCATATGCCACTGGAGGGGAAAGTGTAAATAGGAATCCTGGTCTGTATTAAAATTGGTAAAATTCAAAGTCATTTTCAACCATTTCAGCAAAGTTAATTAAAAAAAAAAAGTTAGGACCCCAGTGAGAATCTTCATGAATTATAGTCTAGATTCACAGTAAATACTTGAACAGTCTCCTTGCTACTGC